ACAGATGGACATCTAGTTTTGTCAGCACCATTTGTTAAAAAAGACCGTCTTTTCCCCATTTACTGGAATTCGGGCAGTTGTCAAAGATAAGGTGGTCGTAGGTAGATGGATTTACATCTGGATTCTCCATTCTGTTCCTTTGGTCAAGGTGTCTGTTGGTGTACCAGTACCAGGCTGTTTTGAGTACTGTAGCTGCATAGTAGGTTCTGAGGTCAGGTAGTGTGAAGCCTCCTACTTTGTTCTTTTTCTTCAGTAATGCTTTACTTATTTGGGGCCTCTTTCTTGTTAAATCTTCTTGAAGAATTGATACTTTTATCACTATATAATGTCCCTCTTATCTCTTCTGATAGATTGTGTCTTAAAGTCTACTTTGTCTAATATTAAGATTGCCACCCCAGCTGTCTTATGGTTATTATTTGCATGGAATATTTTTTTCCATCCTTTCACTTTCAGCCTATTTGTGTCCTTGGGTTTAAGGTGTATCTTTTTGTAAACAGCATATAGTTGGATCATGTTTGTTTTATCCATTCTGCTACTCTCTGCCCTTTGATGGGAGCACTTAGTCCATTCACATTCACTGTAAAACTGATAAGAAGTGACTTACTTCTGCCATTTTTTGTTTGTTTTGTTTTGTGATACTCCTGCTACCTTTTTATTTTATTTTATTGACTTTAGGTGAAAGTTTACAGCTCAAGTTAATTTCTCACTCAAAAATATACACGTTATTTTGTGACATTGGTTGCAACTCCCACAATGTGACTGCATGCTCCCCCTTTCCACCCCAGGTTCCCTGTGTCCATTAGTCCAGTTCCTGTTCCTTCCTGTCTTATCGTCCTGCTTTTGGACAGAGAAGCTGCCCATTTGGTCTCGTATATTTGACTGAACAAAGAAGCATGGTCCTCATGTGTGTTATGTTTTGTTTTATAGGCCTGTCTAATCTTTGCCTGAAAAGTGGGTTCAGGAATGGTTTCACTTCTAGGTTAGCAGAGCATTCGGGGGTCATAGTTTCAAGTGTCTGCCATTTTGTTCTTTTTTTGTGTGTCTTAAGCCTTCTTTGGAAACCCTGGTGTCATAGTGGTTAAGAACTATGGCTGTTAACCAAAACATTGGCAGTTCAAATCCACCAGGCACTCCTTGGAAATCCTATGGGGCAGTTCTATTCTGTCCCATAGGGTTGCTATGAGTCAGAATCAACTCGACGGCCACAGGTTTTTTAAGCCTTCTTTGTCTTTGTCCTTTAGTACTGCTTGCTTTTGTGTTTTGTTGGTTTATTATGGTGAGCCTTTTTGGTTCCCTTCTTTTCTTTTGTGTATTTTTTGAAAAATATATTTTCTTAGTGGTTACCACGATTATTACATTTAACAGTTTGTATTTAAAACATTCTAGGGTAAGTTGGTACCAACTTAACTTCAGTAACATACAAGAAATTTTATATCTATACCATTCCCACCCTTTTGTTGTCACCACTAATTATGTCTTTATATTTCATATGCCCTGTAACATAATTTTATCTTTGCATTTTTTATATTTGTTTTTGAAAAACATAAATGTTTTGAAAAACATTTAAAATTATCAAGCATAAGTACCTTATTACTAGCCCTTATATTTGTCCATGCATTTCCCTTTATTAGGGCTCTTTCTTTTTATGTATAACTTTGAATTACTTTCTAGTATCTTTTCCCTTCCATCTACAGAACTTCCACTAGTATATTTCGTAGGGCTGGTCTGGTAGATATGAACTCTCTCAGCTTCTGTTTGTCTGGAAATGTTTTAGTTTCACCCTCACTCTTGAAGGATAGTTTCACTGGGTATAGTATTTTTGGTTGATTCCGCCCCCCACCCCCAGCACCTTAAGTATACCATTCTATTGCCTTCTGGCTTCCAATGATTGTGAGTAGAAATTGGCACTTAATCTTACTGGGCATCCTTTGTATGTGACTGTGTTTCTCTCTCACTTCTTTCAGGATTCTCTTGTTATTTTTACTTTTTGAGAGCCTAACTATGATATTTTTTGGTGTAGATCTCTTTGGGTTTATCCTGCTTGGGATTCTTTGAGCTTCTTGTATTTGTAGATTCATATCCTTCATTAGATTGGGGAAATTTTCTGTCATTATTTCTTCAAATATTCTTTTTGTCCCTTTGTCTCTCTCATCTCCTTCTGGAATTCCCATAATGCACATATTAGATCTCTTGTTGTTGTCCCATAATTCCATTAAACTGTGCTCATCCTTCTTGAATATCCATTCTTGTTACGCTTCAGCATCTGTAATTTTAACTGTCTTATCCTGTAATTCACTGATGCTCTTCTTTCTGATTAAATCTGTTGGTAAGTCCTTCTATTATGTTTCTCATTTCAGTTATTGTCCTTTCAGTTGCAATATCTCTTTTTTGAGATCTTCATTTTGTTCACGCATTAAATTTCCTTATTTCTTATAGCTCTTTGTCTATATTTTCCCTTATGTCTTTAATTATGTTTCATGTTGTTATATTATCTTCTTCCATTTTTTCATTATTTGGTCATCCCTAGATGCACTTTCACTCCCTTATCATGTTCGTTTAAATGGGCCATTATTTCTCTGATTTTTTGTGTGTGTGTCTTGTGATTTTTTTTGCTGGGGCACTGGAATTTTTGAGGGTGTTCACTTTCTCAGTTTTCTGCAGTATTTGGTGTTTTTGCCCATACTACTTTCTGCAAAAATCTCTTAGATGGGCAGAGCCTTTGGCATCACTTATTGTTTCCTCTCCCTCTCTGTGACAGTCCCTTCTCCCTTTCTGGTTTAATTAGCAGTCAAAAGTTCCAGATCTCAGTTTTCAACTTTCAATCTCTCCCAAATACACCAGAGAACATTCCATGGTTAGTCTGTCCACCAGTGGACACCACCTCTCAGGCCAGATATTGTGCACTTATCAATCTGTCCACCAGGGGGCGAAGTCCTCTCTCTCTGGTTATTCTTTCTCTGTTTCTACAACAACGTTTTTAGTTGGAAAACCTACACCCCGTGAGCCCCCTTTGGGCTGGGTCTTGCCCTCCAGTTTTGCCCACGGCTTCTTTCCCTGCTCTGTGGAGGTTACTTATATCTGACCTGGCATTCAGGGGAAGCAGCAGAATTTCCTGTTTCACGAGGAGGAGGTGCTGGCACTCCCTAGAAGGAGCTCTGAAAGATGTTTTGTTTCAGAGCCCCAGTGGCCCTGGGTTTGTTGGGGGAGCAGTCTCCACTTAGCACACAGCAGCCTCAATCAGCAGTCCTCAGCATCAACCAGAAGTAGGGGCAGAGTAAGCCTAATTTACCCCCAGGGAGGTTTGTGACCCACCTCCTGACTCCACTGTAGGGACCCTTCTGTAGGAGTTTGAATCAGTCTAGCAGCCTAGGTTGGGGAGGGCTTGTCACACTCTGAAAAGACCCCCAGGGAGGTCTGCCTTGTTGCTATCATAGCCCCCAACCCCTAGCATTTTGGCTGTGGATGTAGCCTCCACTAAAGATGCCTGCTTCCTAGCACACAGCAGCCTCAGTCAGCAGTCCTCAGGGGCAACTGGAAGTGCAAGGAGACAGACCCAAACTCATCCCCAGGAGGTCTGTCCTCTTGGTTTCAGAAGCCTGAGCTATGGGTTACATTTCTCACATTGTGTTGTCAATCTCATTCATTTCATTCTGGCATTCTAGTTGTATCATTTCCAGTAGTCTAGTTTCCCTGGCCCTTTGCCTTCTCATTTTTGCTTTAGAGCGATTTTTGACCATTTGATCCCATATAGATGATTTTTAAAAGGAGCTCATTACTCATGTGTGGTATTATTTTATGAATCAGTCTGTTATTTAGCTAAAAGGTGACCTCAAGGGATAATTTTGTTTATGGTTTAAGGAGTATCTCAGGGTGATAGTCTTGGGGAGTCCTCTAGTCTCAACTGGTCCAGTAAGTCTGGACTTTTTTAAGAATTTGCGTTCTATTCCTTATTTTCCTCCCATTCTGGCAGGATCCATTATTTCGGCTCTGATTAGAACTGTTGGTAGTGGTAGCTGGGCACTATCTTGTTGTGGTCTCAGTGTACATGAGGCCATGGTTCTTGAAGACTATTATTAGTCCTGTAGACTATTTTCTTCTCTGAGTCTTTGGTTTCCTTCTCTTTTGTTGAGGATAAGCAGAGGCCAATAGTTGTATCTTAGATGGCCGCTCACAAGGTCTTAAGACCCCAAATACTACTCACCACATTGGAAGACAGAACATACTTTATGAACTATATTATGCCAATTAACTGCGTTGTCCCCCAAAACTGTTCCTAAGCCGTCAAAAACAGAAAATCAATCTTGTGAGGTATTTGGTTATGTCTAAGAAATATCCGTTAACTATGTCCCCTATGTGGTTTATTACATATATGGATATATATACATGCATACACACATACCTGTATGTAAAGTTGCCTATAGATACATCTTTTTGTGCATACATATGTAGCCACATATTGATACCTATACACATATATGCCTATATACATATTTGTGTAACCCTACACACATTGTTTGGTTGTTGTTGCAAAACTGCATCTGTCATATCCTTTACTAAAAATGTCCTTTTCTTCTATGTACTTCTTGGTGACATCATTTAGCTTGGTCAAACTGTGTGTACTTCACCCACATTCAATGCCATCTTTCCCAGCACCAAAAATAACAAGTGTCTACTATCTCAAGAGTGCTTCCCTCCCCCCAGTAATTGGGAGTACACATTTGAACAAGGCATGGTACCTGCCCTCAAGAATATAATCTCATAGAAGCAGACTTGGGTTCTGATTAACTTTCCACTGATGGCTAGGGAAATTTGTCCTTTAGTAAATGGGCCTGAGATTCTTAAAAGTGGAAGTTATCAAGGATGGCAGCAGACAAGGCTTAGAATGTCATGATGGCCCTGCTTTCTCCACTTTTCCTTCTCAGAATGCAGATAGCTGAGAGAAGCACCAGGAGAATGAATGGCAGCATACAACAGAGATGACAACTTCCACACAAATGCAAAAATTGCTTTTATTAAGCTAAAATATTCTTTAATGAGCTAGCAATTACTTGTATGAAGGAGAGCCCAGAAAACAGATTTATGATTGTATTAGCCTTGCTGTTGATTACAGAGATTTAGGAATCACACAGAAAACATTATTCTCTAGAGTAGGTTACTGAAGGTCTAAGAGGTTGTGAACTTGGAAGAGCTTCTCCCTGCCTGTCTGGCTGCTGCCATCAGACCTCAAGACTTAGGTACAAGGATGGACATACTTTCTCTTTTGAATTTAAATCTTTACAACTGTTCGAACGCTGTAAGAGAAGGAAGCAATAAAAATTGGTTACGAATGCTATCTTTTTTAAGGCCACTGAAATTGTATTATTTTTGATCCCCCTCCCTCATAAACCCCAAATCATTATTACATTCTATAAAACAAAGCTAAAGAGGAAGCTTACCTCTTTCCTGCATGCATCAGTTCAAAGGCATCATTGATTTGGTCAAAGGATAGACTGTGAGTCACAAATTCATCAACTTTTATCTTTTTAGACATATATTCAGACACCAGCTTTGGGACGCTTTCTACACTCTTCCATCCTAAAAAAAATCATATGTCTATTCATTAAATTATTTAACAAATCTCTACAGTATGCTTATAACTTAGTTTTCTTTAGGTAACTCAAAGATATTTAACAGAATGATTTTTTTTTGACCAGTTAAAAAGGAATGGAAAATCTCCAAAACTAGCATGGGGAATAAGAATTTAACACACATCTTTAGTTAAAAAAATAAGTGGCTTTTAAGTATTTTCCATTTTTTTTTGGTACCCCTATTAAAATTTACTGAAATCTCACTCATGTTTTGGGCAATCAAGGCTTTTAGACTACCCAGGATAGAATGCTGGAACTCTTAGAACAAGCTTATTAAGGTCCACAGCAGCAAAGATATCTATAATCATGAAATTCAAGGAAGAAAAAAAAAAAAATGACTTTATTTCCTTGGTCTTAAATTCAACAATGAAACTGTGATGCCATCTCAGAATAGAAAACCATGAAACTGAGAAAAAAGTAGGAAATCTTTAGTGACATGACACAATTGTGAACAAAATCAGATGCTTCAATTTCCCACCTGTACTGAAAGAAGCAATAAATCAACAAAGCCTTCCCACCTTTTAATCCAAAGATGTCTTATACCATATTCCTAATACCTTTTGAGCCTTTTCCAAATCTCCCTTCTTATGTCTTCCATCAATTATTTTCTGTTATTGTGGGGATTTTTTCTTTTTCCTTTAAATCTCCCAGTAACTGAGTTGACTATGGCCACCACTATTTTCTAAACCAAAATTTCTAGTTACATCTCTGGGTCATGTTTTAGCAACACCCAAGGGATCCCAATGTTCTCACTTATTTCCTAACTGGCATGTGCTCAGATGAGCTTCAGTTGGAGGTTTCTACCCAGACCCCAGGGCTGCAGCCACCCAGGCTCAGACTGCCCTTTCACACATTGCTATGGGCCCCGAGTTGATGGCCCAAAGTAGCATGTGTGGCTTAAAGAGTCTGTCCTAAGACACTCAGTTGTGGCAAACATCAAGGGCTTTGGAAAGATGTAGTTGTCAGCTTGAAATTTTCTACGGCAAATGCTATAATAAAAAGAAGGAAAACTTTGGGTATACCCGTCATTTTAGCATACTTTCCTAATCTTCTAAACCTTAAAAAAAAAAAACAAAAACGAGCAGAAAAAAAACCAGAAAATGAGGTAGGGAATATTAAAAGATACCTTGTTTAATACAGATCATTCAAAACTCATGTGATTTAGTTTTTCCTAAAAGGATGGGAAAATAGAAATATTTTTTTAAAAAGCCTATAAAAGTTTTAGATTTCATTCATTCACAATAGTTGGAATATACAAACATGTTTTTTCCTTCCCTAGGTAAGCAACCATGAAAAAGGTGATAACTGTCCCCCAATATTCTACTGGTAGTTAAGTAATCCCAAACAACGAAGCACTTTTCAGGATCACACAAGGAAAAACTACCCATCCAGCAGCTTTTCAGCTTTGATAAAAGGTTTTGTCTAATTTAATATTTTCAGTTAAAGACTCAGTATTGGTTAACACTGAAAATCCAGACAAAGGAGTGGTCACATACTATGATTACTTTTTCCCTCTCTGAAAAAAATGAGTAAAAATGCCAATAACCTACTCAGCTCCACAACATAAAATACAGTGTGGCTGACGCTATTGTTTGCTTACCCTGCAACCAACTTCGCACCCCTGCCCTACTCCAAATTATTTCCTTATTAACAGAATGTTATTTTTTAAAATGTGTGTACACAACTAACCATGTGTCGAGTACCTCCTCACCCCGACAGGTAAATACTGAGTGACTCTGAAACCCTTCATTAAAATAATCTTCATGCAACAACTTATGGGGACAAGGTTAAAAACCAGAAAGCCAAAACTGTTGCTGTTGAGTCGATTCCAACTCATAGCGACCCTGTAGGACAGAGCAGAACTGCCTCATAGGGTTTCCAAGGCTGTAATCTTTACAGACTGTCACATCTTTCTTCCATTGGTGAGTTTGAACCACCCACCTTTTGGTTAGTAACTTAGCGATAATGAAAATGTAGACCATGAAAATTCTTGTTCATGTAACAAAACTAGCCTGGGATTAAAATGCTGCTGATGAAAACAACGAAACAGAAAATGTCACCATCTCATACATTCAATTACCTCCAAAGGCAGTGCCTTTCCATGTGCGGCCTGTTACCAGCTGGAATGGACGAGTAGAGATTTCTTCACCTGAAGCAGCTACTCCAACCACCACACTGACGCCCCAGCCTTTGTGGCACGCTTCCAGCGCTGCTCTCTGCAGGCACGGAGACAGGACCAAATCACAGAAGTCAGTGCATTTTGCTAAGAATGTCGGCTTCCCCAGAAACTTCCAGGGGCGGGGGCAGGGGGCAGGGGGCAGTGGCACAGAGCCTTTAAAAAATGGCAAAAAAAAAAAAAAAAAAAACTGACCAAACTGAATGTTTAGTAAGTTTAATTTTATTAAACAATGATATTTTTAACAGGTATTTAAAAAAAATTAACTTGGCTTAATAGTAACACAAATTGAAAGGATTCAAAGCTTTTATTTGCTTTATATTTTTAAAAGTAAATCTTAGCCCAAAATTCTAACAACTTCAATAGGAAAAGCAGCAGGCAGGAGGTGGAGTAGATAGTATTAGCTACATTTACTGAGTGTTTACTTTGTGTCAAGTAGGTACTATTCGGTCCCCATTTTACAGATGAGGAAACTGAGGTCTAGAGAAGTTCCTTGCTAACAGTCACTGAGTCAGGAAGTGAATGACTCTAACTTCAAAGCCCATGCTCTTCACTACTGCATCATTCTGCCTTTCCATTTCATGACACACACTCTAAGATTTAGAACAGTCGTAGAAAGGTAAAGAAACATTTTTTTCTCATTTTTCCCTGATCCATTCTATCACTTCCCATATATAATTCAAAATTACTTTTCTCAATCTTACATTAGAATAGAATTAGACTCTTCCTTTACAAAAACAAAACATTGTTTAATCTTAATTAGGGGAATGATATTTAAAAAAAAAAGCAGTACCAAAAAGAAGGGAACGAAGCCAAGCACTTACCATGACTTTCACATTACCAATGCACTCAAAGGAGTAGTCCACCCCTCCATCCGTCATCTCAACAAGCACCTCCTGGATGGGCTTACTGAAGTCCTGTGGATTAATACACTCAGATGCTCCAAACTCTTTGGCCCTTGCAAATTTATCTTTATTGATGTCAACACCAATGATCCGGGAGGCACCAGCCACCTTACAGCCCATGATAGCTGCCAATCCAACTCCGCCCAGGCCAAAGACGGCACAAGTAGAACCAGGCTCCACCTAATAGTAAACACAGTCCATAAGATACGCGTTCCAGAAAAGTCAAGGAAATCACTAGGTTTCTTACAGATTAGACCAATTTCATTATTCCAATAAAGTTTTGTTGAATGAATCAAATTAGAAGACGAAGGCTAAAACCTAGGCCAACCTCTTACCTTGGCAGTGTTTACGGCAGCACCATAACCGGTTGAAATGCCACAACCCAGCAGGCAGACTTTATCCAGGGGTGCTAAAGGATCGACTTTAGCAACAGAGATATCGGCTACAACTGTGTATTCAGAGAAAGTGCTCGTTCCCATGTAATGTAAAATGGTCTTTCCTTTGCAAGTAAATCTGCTAGTCCCGTCTGGCATTAATCCTTTCCCTTGAGTAACTCTAAAGCAAAGAAAAGAGGAAACAGGCAGGGTAGGATCAGGTTTCTAAAACTCATGTTGTTGTTGTTGTTAGCTGCCTTCGAGCTCGTTCTAACTCATGGGAACCTGATGGATAACAGAACAAAACGACGCCCAGTCCTGCGCCATTTTCATGATTGTTGGTATGTTTGAGTCCATTGTTTCCACTATTGTGCTTAAAACTCATAGGAGAAAGGAAATGGTTTTAAAAATAATGACCAGTAAATATTTAGAAAAGTGTGCTAAGACCAAAAGTCAAATTTCTAAGGGATTCAACTAATAACTTAGCTACTTTCAGCAATGCCTTATAAGAGATTTACAATCTGATCCATCTTTTCCAACACTCAACAGCCTTCTGGATCTTTTTGTCAGAATATACGTCATTTTAGCAGGTATACACTTAGGGATCTGATGAAATTATTTTAAACTTCCATCATAAAACTCTATGAGCAATTATAACTTCATAAAGGATAAAGCCAAAACCAGCATCCCCACAAGTAGAGATTACAAACAATTATACAGGTCAACAGATTAAGACAAAAGGTCAAACTGGCTAGCTTATCAGGACGCCTTTTCCAAAAACTGTAACAATCTTCAAAGATTTATCTTTTCTCTTCACTTTGCCTACATAATTGATCACATCAATGAAGCAAAACAACCCAGCAATACAATAAATTGTAACCAAAATTACTTTTTACATTCTAAACAGATGATACAATGTCTTGCTTGGGAGTATGGGCCCTAAAGTTGGACCCACTTGGGTTTAAATCCTGTGTGATCTTGGGCAAGTTAATTAGCCTTTTGTTGACTTAGTTTCCTCACTAGAAAATGGGAAGGAACAATAGTATCTTCCTCCTAGATTACTATAAAAATCAAATGAGATGTTATGTAAAGCATTAGCATTATGCCTGTCACAGAGAGTGTTCAGTAAATGTTTGTTATTTCTAATAAAAATAAACATTATAATTTGATATACACTCATTGGCAAATCCTTTGGAATGAAAAAAAAAGTATGCCGTTGTTAGGTGCTGTCGAGTTGGTTCCAACTCATAGCATCCCTATGTACAACAAAATGAAACACTGCCTGGTCCTGTCCCAGCCTCACAATCATTGTTACGCATCAGCCCATTGTTGCAGCCACTGTGTCAATCCATCTCAAGGGTCTTCCTTTTTTTTGCTGACCCTCTACTTTACCAAGCATGATGTCCTTCTCCAGGGACTAGTCCCTCCTGATAGTATGTCCATAACAGTTGCTTTGAGAAAAAAATAAAACATGACCAGAAGCAAAGAACAACAAGATGACAAACTGTTTTATCTTTACGAGAGCAATTTAACTCTGTTTGGCCCTCATCAGTGTGAGAAATCACTGCTATTGCAGAGGAGTTTCTTGGGGGGAAGAAGGTGACTAGATTGCTTTTGATTCTAGCTTTACCAAAGGTAACTGGATTTATATTATAAAATAAACAGAATCTTGTCTTCCAAAAATAATCTAATTTTGTCAATGGCATTAGAAAACGAATGCAAGGACCACTGGATCTCCCAGTCTGCTGGTGGGAGTGAAAAGTGCTACGATCATACTGGAGACATGCATATACATATCCTGTAACTCAGCAATTCCATGCTAGGAAAATACCCAAGAGAAAGTAGTGTGTATAGCCACCAAAGGATACGTATAAGAATGTTCACAGCAACATTAAAAACTATAGCCCTGAACTGGGAGCAGCCTGAATACCCATCAACAGGAATATGGGTAAATAGTAGTATTTAGAATGGACTATGACACAGCAATAAAAAAGAACTACTGGTGTACACAGCAAGTTGGATACAACTCACAGACATTACAAAGAGGGAGAAACCAGACAAAAGAGCACACAGTGCGGGATTCCATTTATATGAAGTTTTATAGTGAAAGAAATCAGAATAGTGGTTACTTCTGAGCAGGAGGGTATCTACTCGGAAGGGATGTGAGATTTTGTGGGGTGCTGGAAGGGCTCTCTATCTTAATCTAGGTGATGGTTATAACCATCAGATGAGTACATACATAAAAATTGACTGAGCTTCACACTTAGGGTTTGTACACTTTAAGTACTTTATTATATGTAAGTTGTTAAAAAAGAAACAAACACAAAAACATTTTAAGCTGCCTCAAAGTAGTATTTAAGTGCTGCTACCTTACTACAATAAAATAACTACCTCTTCTGCGTCAAGGGGTTGCATTATCTCTTCTAGATTTCCTAATAACCTCATGAGGTAAGTTTTATTACTTTGATTTAATGGATAATAAAATGGCTCATAAAACGATTTCATTTAATCTCACAAGTATGTTCCTCCTTGCTCTACATTTTGGCAAATTTAGTCTAATGTTACGGAAAGAGATTGGGTTCAGGAAGCTCTGCTTTATCTCTTAACAGCTGGTGATACTGGGTAAACCACTTAAGTTTTAAGTCTTATTTTTCTCATTCATGAAAATGGGAATACTAATAATGATAGTGAAGTTGCTATAAAGATGGAATGAAATAATTCATGTAAAAAGCACTTTGTAAATTGCCACACAATTACTAAATGAACACTTGTTTTAAAAATAAAATATGATACTAACCTTATCTTCTGGCAAAGGTTTGTTTTAGGATTTAGGCAAAATTTGCATTCTCCACACTGTGGGATGTAAAGTGGGATGACAGTATCACCTAGGAAACAAATGCAAAGACATTATCCTGAATAGGTAGCACCAGTCCTTGCAAATTTCCATTCCTGTCAACTTACGCTGCTTTGCAAGGTCAACAACTTCAAGCCTTAGAACTTTATCTATACAACATCATTCACACACTCCTTGACCATGCAAACACATAAAGTTTCCAAATCTTTATCTAAATAAAACTCTTACAATACCAACTAGAAAACAAGGAGGACATGTGTCAAAATACTGACGCACTGATGCATCTCTAAAAGTTCTGACTTAATTGGGCAAAACTGGCTTTGAAAATGTCCTTTTACGGCTGCAGACAATCAGCAGCTACAAAATCAGAGACAAAAACAAGTATTTGTGCTTCCCAGATGAAAAGTAAAACCAATCCTGACAACTCACTTAGGTGATAACCTGTTCATAAATAAATAGTGTGCGGTGTATTAAAAAAAAAAAATTTCCCTATAGAATTAAGCCAAAATCACCAAGTAAGTGATTCAAATACTCTCCTTACCTGCTTTCAGCTTAGTAACTCCTTCACCAACGCTCTCCACAATCCCAGCTCCTTCATGTCCCAGGATCACTGGAAAACACCCCTCTGGGTCAGCCCCGCTCAGAGTATAGGCATCGGTGTGGCAAACTGCAGTGGCAATAACCTATCAGGATGTTAAAATAAACAGCACTGGAGGAAGTGTGTGTGCATGCAATTCAGAGTAAGGTATAGGTCAAAGGAAAGACATGTTACTCTAGTACCATATTTCACTGATTCTAAGATATATTTCTTTCACATTTTAACCTTTTTAAAATCAGCATGCGCTTACAATCAACGGCATCTTAACAACTATAACTGGTAGCATTCTTTTTTAGTGGTACATAAAAGTAATGGTGCATCTTGTCATCGATGGTGTTTTATATGCAATAAAACACGGTACATCCACCTTCCTTTTCAGTGCATGTTAGCAAAAGAAGGTAAACAAGCTGACTTTATGGGGCACAGTGCCTTCAGGTGTGGAGAGGAACATCACCTTGGGCGAAACAGGTGGAGCCATCCCACTGCTGACAGCCTTCCGACTGTTAGGAAATGTGATTTCTAAAAAGTTATTCATTATTTCTGAAATATGCTAGTCTGCTTGGGTCTGGGTCAAAACTCATAGCTTTCAGTTGCACCAACTCCCTTTTTAGCAGCCACACACAATTTCTACTTAAATAAGCCCTTTATCTCTCCAGTTTTGAAGGCTCTCTTATCTTTCCAAATCACCAAAAGCACAGAAATGAAAAGTCTTGGAATGTATTGTACTTATGCTGCTCTGCTTCCCACCCACATACCTACATAAAATGTAACACTCTTGTGCTATGTGTTAACAGTCTCTCAGGGAAGACTGCTGAACTCAGTGTACCCCATACAGCTCATCTTTGTACATCCAGGACAAACAATTCCCTCATCAGTGGTAAAATCACAATCAGTTTAATTTCTGAACTTAAAGGAAAAAATACAACTACTGTAAGATTTCAGATCTGGGCACAGGTTGAAAAGGATTTTAAACAGTTATCTGGTCCTGAGCTTCTCAACCTGATATGTGATCCTTGGGAGCAGGAGAGAGTGCTGTGTGTTTGGAGGTGGGATGAGGGGAAGTATACCCAAAGCCACAGCAAAAAAGGGTTATTTTCCTAAAATGTTATTTTTATTCAATGGTGACTACTTTACAGCATTAATTTCACATCAAAACAAGCAGAGAATAGAATGCTGAAAACACAAAGTACATATCATAAGTTTCAAGGCTTCAAAGATCTTTCCTTCCGGGTACCTTGTGCAATATGCCTCTCTCCGGGGCTATAATGAATCTCCTGGAACTCTGGCCTTGTCTGCCAAGGGTCAGTACATTTTACAGCTCTCTAAGCAAGATTTCACTTGCTTGTTGCTCCAGTCAATCAGGATCCCATTCACAAATGTTATCTAAGGTCCCTTCTAACAAAATTAAGGGCCACTTCTTTTGTTTCTAATGTGTCACAGATATTTTAACTTATAGGCTCAGCAGAAAGGGGAGCATCTTACAAAGTCACTTTAAACCCAGGCTACGGAAGATACATTGCAGTAACCCAGTGATCTATGTGGATGGCGCTGCTCAGCCCAAGCTCAAAGCTAAAAAAAGGAGAATAATGTTGTAGACATGACAGAAAGAAGAGTCTGTTGTGATTTCAAGGTTAGATGACTTTCAGTACCCTCTCCTTGACACTGTCCTTTGGGATTTATCCTCTGCAGACCTCAGATCTACTAATCTATTCAGAGACCTAATTGTAAGTCGTCTTCTCCAGTGCCTCAGATGTGTCTTTACCTTAATTCGAACTTCATGAGCCTTTGGGGGTGCCACCTCTATCTCCTCTATGGAGAGAGGCTTTCCAGCTTCCCAGGCTACCGCAGCCTTGCACTTGATAACCTAATACGAAAAGAGAGACAGCAAGCTGTTTATCCTCCTAAAATAATAATAAAGTACTTAGCAGTCAACTTAGTACTGCTGAATCCAAATCCTGGAAAATGTATCAGAGATTCACAAAGAAACATGTACCCCTAAGTGAGATGGAGAACTGTTTGCATGTTTGTAGATTTCATATATGTCACACATTTAAAGAAAAACTGAGATGACCATATGGTCAGATATAAAAGCCTCTTTTGGTTAAAAAGTTTTTAATGATCCTCTACCATGCATAAGCAGGAGCAGGTTAAGAATACAGGTTCCAAGACAGTCTGATTCAGTAGGTCTGGCATGAGGTACAAGGAATCTGTATGCTTAACACGGACCCTATGAAATTCTTCTGTTCGAGATGATGTGTCACTGGGTTAGTGTAATAACTGCAGGGTGGGAATGGGGATAAGGAGTAGCAGGATAGAAAAATGTTTTAAAACGACATCTATACCATATAACTGTGCTGTCCAAAACAGTAGCGACTAGCCACATGTGGTACTGAACACATGAAAAGTGGCTAGTCTGAACTGAGATATGTTTTAAGTGCAAAACACTTATACTTGGATTTTGAAGACTTAGTACCAAAAAAGGTAAAAATATTCCATTAATAATATTTAAAAAATATTGATTACGTGTTGAAATAGTAATGCTGAACACTATACTGGATTAAGCAAGCTTTTTATTAAAATTAATTTCACTTGTTCCTTTTTACTTTTTTAAATGTGGCTACTAGAAAATTTAAAATTTATATTGGCTCATTTATTTCACCTAAAACACAATGAAAATTTTTTAAAAAATAAGGAAAACATAAAAAAAAGAAAAAAATCTATAGGACAGTGCTGCTTTAGACATTCTAATCAGTACACTCCCCCACAACCAAAGAATCAAGCATAATGAGGAAGGTTTGGATCAATTCACATAATGCTTGTGAAATGTGTTGACAGATCAAAGGTTCTAATATAAACCACTGAGGTTATGACAAACTTGAAAGTCAGTAATTACAAAACAGTGTGATTAAAAATATTTGCACAAAGTGCTACAGAAAGCAAAAAGTGGGTTGCAGGGGTTGGGAAAAGTATCACTTTTAAACAGGATAGATGAGGAAGAGTTACAAATGATGATAAAATACCTACAGAGAAGAGAATTTTAAAAAGTAAATGAAAATGAATATGAAGCCCCTAATACAGTCCTTGGCACAGTGAAGCTTTGCAAACATAAGTTACTAGTTATTAGCGCAACAAAACAAAGAGTGGAGGAAAAGGAGAGGTGAACTACTGTATATATAGGTATAAAGAAAGACCTGTGTAAATTGGTGAGGCTGGAAGAATCTGATGGTACAAAGAATTCAGACACTGCATTAGCATCTTTTTTTTCACCTCAAGATACCATAAATCTCAAAACAAAACCCCAAAGGTCAAATTCAGAATACTAACAATGAAGTCATGAAACCCAGAGTTACTTCTGAAGAAACAAGAATGAATAATTCATAGAGAATCTAAGTTTTATGTCCCCTCCTTTAAAAAAATCTTCTGAAGGAGCTTAACCTTTTCCTTTCAGACAATTCTAAGCAAAACAAAGCCCACTTTAAATCCACAGGCAACTGCTTTACTTCAACGTTTGAAATACCAAAGGAATTATAATTTTCCACCTTCTCTGAAAAAAGACTCTTGGTAATATGGAAAAACAACTGCTCATTTATGAAATCTGAAAGATCATTTTAAAATTTACCTTTTCTGTTAAATGTCAACATTTAAGGTCATGAACTTTTCTGGGAAATGTCCGAAATTTGCAAAGCATTAAAACAATCAGCAATTTTTGATTATTCATGTAATTTGGTCTATTTCTGCCCTTCTGTATAGACTAACTGGTATTGCAAGAACCTGGAATAGTTTCTGTCGCAAAGGGACAGACATGGGTGGGAATCCCAGCTCACTGTCCATCCCCGGTGTGACCACTGAGCACAGCCAATCTCTAAGCCTCAGTTTCTGGTCTGAGAAAAGGGGATAATATCTCAAAGAGGTGTTATGTGAGAATTAAGAGGATATAACGCTTCTAGTGCCCAAGTGCTCAAAAATGTTATGGAAAGGGACCTAGGAGTCTTCCCCAAATACACTCCTTGGTGGCACAGTACTCGAGTTTAGGCTCAATTATGAATTATAATGATGAAATGCAAGACAATCTAGGTGCAGGGCTCTGCAGCAGCTTTGCCGCTTAAGAGCAAGACTCCAGTTTTTTTTTTTTCCCTAAATTTTATTGTTATTGAGACTATACACAGCAAAACATATAACAAACTCAAGAGTTTCTACATGTACAATTTAGTGACACTGATTACATTCTTCAAAGTTGTGCATCTTTTCTGAGCTGTTCCTCCCTCATTAACATAAACTCACTGCCCCCTAAGGTTCCTATCTTTTAAGTCACTGCTGTTGTCAGTTTGATCCCATATAGACAGCTCTTAAAAGAGCATAATGCTCAAGGCAGACCTTTTTCACTAATTAAGCTAAACAACTTTTGGTTTTAAGATGACTTCAGGGGATATTTTTGGTTTAAGGTTTAAAGATTTTTGTCAGGGCAATAGTTTCAGGGGTTCATCCAACCTCCATGGCTCCAGAAAGTCCAGAGTCCATGAGATCTGAAATTCTGTTCTGCATTTTCTCCTTTTTGATCAGGATTCTTCTATGGAATCTTTGATCAAAATATTCAGTAATGGTAGCTGGGCACCATCCAGTTCTTCTGGTCTCATGGCAAAGGAGGCAGCTGCTCATGGAAGCAATTAGCTACACATTCCATATCCTCCTATTCCTCTATTGCTCCAGGTGATAGAGACCTACTGTGCCTTGGATGGCCACTTGCAAGCTCTTAAGACCCCGGACACTACACAACGAACTAGGAGGTAGAAAAGAAGCACCGACATATTATTAGGCCAATTAACTGGGATGTCCCATGAAACCATGACCTTAAACCTCCAAACCAAGGAACCAAACCCCATAAGGTGTTTGGTTGTACCTAAGCAGCTTCAGGAGCAACTTTTTTTTTTTTGTCAGTGTTATATCACACAACTTTTGCCAATTCAACTTTTTACAAGTATACAACTTACTGACAATAATTACAATAATTATCTGTGTGACTCTACCCTTAATATGATTTTTCTAACACCGTTAACCCTCTTTTCCCCTCCTTTCCACCCCTGGTAACCACTAATAAACTCTGACCTCTATAAATTTGCCTTTTCTTGTGTTTTTATGTGAAGTCACACAATAGTTGTCCTTTTGTGATTGACTTATTTCGTCAGAATAATGTCTTCAAGCTCCACCCATACGGTAGCATGTATCAAGACTTCATTTCTCCTGTTGGCTGACTAGTATTCCATTGTATGTATGTACTACATTTCGTTTATGTATTCATCTGTCGGTGCCCTGGTGGTGATGCGATTAAGAGCTACGACTGCTGACCTTTGACTGCTAGCCAAAAGGTCAGCCGTTCAAATCCACCAGCTGCTCCGTGGAAACCACGAGGCAGCTGTACTCTGTCTTACAGAGTAGCTACGAGTCGGAATGGACTCTATGGTAACAGGATTCATCTGTTAATGGGCATTTAGGTTGTTTCCACCTTTTGGCTACTATGACTAGCAGACAAATTAATTTTGCGCAAAGAGCTCAATATACATAAGCCATCACACGACTGCCCCCACCCTCCAAATCTCCGATTCTCCCCACCCCCACCTCGCTCCAGCTGCTCCAGAAGCAGCAAAATGAGGAGCGAAACAAAGCTTTCTTCCCTCCCTTCCCGCTGAGCCGCTCGCCTCGCTGGAGGCCTTGTTTTAGCTCTGGCAGTCGGAACCCTTCCCAGAGCGAGCCCCGCGTCACCCTTGAGGCCAGCTGCTTGGTTCCACCCACGCTCTCCCTCCCTTCCTCGCACTCCGGCCCACGGAAAGGACCGCGCTACCTGGTTCGCCATGTCCGTTAGCTCTGGTCGGGCGTGGGAATGACGACCGAGGTGGCTCGCAACGGGGCGGGGTGTGCGCCCGGCGCGGCCCCGCCTCCATCAGGCGTCGGGGGCGGAGCGCGGGCGCGGCGTGGGCCCGGCGAGATTCTTCTTCCACCCGGCGCAGGGGGCGGGGCATAGACGGGGCGTGCGCTCGGAGCGGTCCCGCGGCTACCCGGCTCCAGAGGGCGGGGCGTGGATGGGGCGTGCGCCCTGCACGGATTAGCGAGGGGCAGGGTTTGCGGGGTCTTGGGCCGGAAGGGTGGGGTCTGTTGTGTGGTGCCTGGCTGACGTTGTTTCACCGATAAAGCTGGATAACTGCAGAACATCTGTGCCAGTAATGGGTTTCCTCGTGTGGTTTTAGTCCAGGCAGTGTAGCTAAGGCTTACAGGAGAACGCTATGGAAGGTGAGGAAACGGGAATTTCACTGGGAGCATGTGAGAAAAAGTAAGAGGCCTGCTTTCTTCCCTCCTACACACTCGTGCGCTAAGTCTGGGAGGACTCGGGATGAGGAAAATGCAGCTGTCTCAGGGACTCACCTTCGAATTTCCTTAAAGGGAACTGTGACATGTGAGAATAATAAAGGGAGCACCATCAGGAAGACTTTCCAAGCCCTCACTACAGCAGCTCCTGAAGGGTGCGTAGCATATTGGGGTGTGATAGGCCATAGGAGAGAACTTTGCAAAGAGGAGAAGGCTGGAACGAAAAGTCTCTGGAAAGTGGACGCGTTTTATGTGTTTTGAGAGTGGGCCAAAGTGTAGAGAGAGGGAAGATGGAGTATATGCTGATTTACTCTTAAACCCTGATTGTTCTAGATGCTGATTTTTACTAAAGTAGCTGAGCCAGGTAGACCAGTCCCCTCTCTGTTTGAATTTTCAGACTTCTGCATGCCTTTTTTTCCTTAAATACCTTAAGGGTTGACGATCTTAAAGCTTCTGTTCAGTGGGTTTTGTTTTGTTTTTGGTATCCTGGTAGTGATCTCATCCACCATGGCTTTTAACTTCTGTTTATGTAAGAGGAATTTCAGATGATTATCCCCAGTCAGGATGGCTTCCCTAGACTCCAGGCTTGGTAATATAACTGCCTGCTAGACAGGTCTTCATTAGGATATCAGTCTTGATTATCTAGTGCTGCTATAACAGAAATACCACAGGTGGATGGCTTTAACAAACAGATTATCCTCTCACAGTTTAGTAGGCTAGAAGTCCGAATTCAGGGCACCAGCTCCAGGGGAAGATTTTCTATCTCTGTTGGCTCTGGAGCAAGGTCCTTGTCATCAGTCTTCCCCTGGACTGGTATCCTCTCTGCACAGGAAACCCAGGTCCAAAGGACACACTCTGCTCCTGGCACTGCTTTCGTGGTGGTATGAGGTTCCCCAACTGTCTACTCGCTTCCCTTTCTCTTGTAAAATAAAAGGTGATGGAGGCCATACCCAAGGGAAACTCCCTTTACACTGAATCAGGGATGTGACCTGAGTAAGGGTGTTACATTCGAAACTAATTCTCTTTAACATAATCTAATCTTCCCTCATTAACCACAGGCAGATATTAGGATTTACAACATATAGGAAAATTACATCAGGTGATAAAATGGTGGACAATCATACAATACTGGGAATCATGGCCTAGCCAAATTGATACATACTTTGTGGGGGGACACAATTCAGTCCATGACAATATCTTACAGTCATTTCAAACTCAGCCATTCAAAACTTATCCTGTCCTCCTTTCCTTCTTAAAGATACTTTTCATCCTGGATTTCCACCATCCAGCTACTTGGCCCAGCCAGAAACCTGGGAGTCACAACTTATCTTTTTCCCTCAGCCCTCGCATTCAATCTGTCACCAAGTGCTAAAGCAATTACCCCTAAATACCTCTCTCATCTTGTGCCTTCTTTTGTGAGGTTATTGAAAAAGCCTCCCATCTGATTTTCCAGTCTCCAGGCCCCTGAATCTAATGCACACTTAAACTAATGTCATCTGAGTAATCTTTCTCAAACACACATCAATTTATGTCATTTCCTTTTTTCCTCGTGTAGTTTTTGAGTGAGCTGGGTTGCAAATAAATAAATGTTACTCTTCTCTTAAAAAGTCTTCAAGGGCTAAGAAATAGGTAAAATCCAGACTCCATAGCTAGGCCATCCAGGCTCTCCATAACCTGGTTCCTGCTTACTTCTCCATCTTTATTTCCTGCTATTCCATCACGTGTGTGAAACACCATGTGATTTCTTAAAGAGATCGTCCTCTCTCTTGACTCCAGGCCTTTGTATACGCTAGTCCTTTTACTTGGAATGCAGCAAGCGATTTCTAGGGGGAAAGAAGACTTTAAAGCAGAGAGTTAATGTTCTTTTCCTTATTGCAGATATGTTGTCTGCCTTCTGGGAAGAAACAGTTGCTTTTTGTTGTACCTTGCTTAAAAATAATACACAGTAATTACAAGCTGCTTTCTATGGGAAAGAAAAATTGACACAAGTTGAAATTAAGAGGCCATCAGCTTCATTAGAGATTTTCCTGAAGGCATTTTATAACATTAGGATAAAAGGAAGGATTTACATGAGTCATTGCTTATGCAGACTATATTGGAAATAACCTGACCAGGTGGAAGATACAGATGATATTTTCTAAATAGAAATCACAAAAGGCATAGCAGCAAAATTTAGAAGTGTTCAGGAACCTCAACCACCTGGCACGTTTGGAAGCAGACCCTTTGTTAAATTCATTTTGTTTCTTCTGTTCTTGGATGTAGAACTTTATTTTCTTTGTGAAGCATGTTATACCAATTGACCTAAATGTCCCCCGAGACTATGGTCCCCCATCCCCAGCAACTGGGTCCCTCAAAGTGTTTGGATATGTCTGGGAAACTATGCCTTTGCTTTGGTCAGGTTGTGCTGACTTCACCTATATTGTGTGTTGTCTTTCCCTTCACCATAGTTGACACTTGTCTACTACCTAGTTAGTGATTTCCCCTCCTCCTCCCTCCCCACCCTCGTAACTATCAAAGAATGTTTTTTTCTGTGCGTAAACCTTTTCTTGAGTTCTTGTAATAGTGGTCTCATACAATATTTGTCCTCCTTTCTTAAATTCTCGACCTAAGATCTTACTCTCCATTTCATCTAGCAGAAGAAAGAGAAAATAATGAGGGAAACTACTAACTTATACTTAATTTTGAAACTTAAGAAAAGATTATTTAGAACTGAAGGTTCTAAATTAGGTCAAAGTGACAGTTATGGATTGAATTGTGTCCCCACAAAATGTGTGTCAATTTGGATAGGCCGTGAGTCCCAGTATTGTGTGGTTGTCCACCATTTTGTGATCTGATGTGATTATCCTATGTGTTGTAAATCCTACTAGCCCCTGTGATGTTTATCAGGCAGGATTAGAGGCAGTTATGTTAATGAGGCAGGACTCAATCTACAGGATTAGGTTGTATCTTGAGTCAATCACTTTTGAGATGTAAAAGAGAGAATAGAGCAGAGAGGAAACATACCTCATACCATCAGGAAAGAAGTGCCAGGAGTGGAGCGCATCCTTTGAACCTGGGAACCATGTGCTGAGAAGCTCCTAGACCAGCGGAGACTGATGACAAGGACCGTCCCCTGGAGCTGACAGAGAGAAAGCCTTCCTCCGGAGCTGGCACCCTGAATTTGGACTTCTAGCCTCCTAAACTGTGAGAGAATAAATTCCTGTTTGTTAAAGCCATCCACTTGTGGTATTTCTTATTTTTATTTTGTATT